TACATTGGCTCTCTGAAGGGGGAAGAGATCTGTCTTGGAGTGTTTGCCGGTTTCCATGGTGTAAATACTCCCTTCGTGGCCAATTTCCAGATTCCAACAGTTTAACAACCTGTTTGCAAAATTGCTGGATATTTAACAGTTAGTTCTCACAAGCCAGTAGGGCTTCAGAACACCACAGTTTGGGCTCACGTAGCAGATTATTCTGCCCCTTCCAGAAGCCATATCCTTTTATAATATCCATACATTCAAGGCAGACTTTGTATGTAATGCAGAATTCTCTGATGTTTAAAGACCTTAGGTGGCCTCCTATATCTTTCATGCTGTTCCTCTCAAGCCATGTACTTTTACTTCTCCTAATTTAATGACAATGGTTTTACTTTTGTTGTTCTTAATTTTAAACGGAGGTTGAGATGTTTATGTTTCTCTTCCCTGACCATCAAACAAATCTACCATATGTGGGTTGCTCTGTAAGTGGAGTGGCCCTTGATTGACCGAGAAAAAGGATTTTTCACCCATGGGAAGTTGGTCAGCCTTTGGGAGACCTAAGGATCCTGCAGGTGTACATTTTTGTGTGCATGTGTCTGCATACACATGCATCCAACAATATTTATTGAGAGCTCGGTATAAGCCAGGAGTGTGTATGAACACGTAGCACTCACCATTTGGGATTTGCACCTGTTACTAAGTGCTTTCCCACAATATTTTGAGGCCCCAACAGCCGTGCAAGTCCCCCTGTAAGTACATGATTACTATGAGGTCACAGTATGAATTCAGACCTAGCAAATTAAATGGCAATTACCCTTTGAGAAACCATGTAACTCCAAGGATAATCACCATGTTCTGTGTAATTTTTTTAGATCTTTAGGGGTGCTAATTTGTAAAGCATATATAACCAAATGAATAATTACATAGCAAGAGGCTGAAAGGTAATTGCAAAATAATTGCATGCTATTTGATCCCTCCGTGAAAACATGTTTAATAGAATAGTCTCCTAAACTGTTTCTTTTACCTGTGGAATACTTTAAGATTACTCTTTTTCCTTAGTTATTTTTTAGCACTAAGCATTAACTATTTTGAATAATATTATTTGGTAAAACATATGAAAGGGTAGGCTCTAAGTGTACATTGAAAAACTAAGGTATGAAGTTTGGTCTCTTTTCTACATTATGAAAAGATTATTCACTTTTAAAAGTTGATCATCAAATACAGTCTATTATTTTTTTATAAATACACAGTGCTGCAGGATTTGTATCTGTTTAATGTAGGGCTCTCTCTAGCATCTGGAGGTACTAGCGTTTTTGAAGTATCACTAACTTCTTTTTCCATTTAATACTAATAGCGTGTCTGGTTGCATCTCTCTCTCTCTCTCTCTCTCTCTCTCTCTCTCTTCCTTGCTCCCTCCTCTCACTTCAGGAATGGAAACTAATGGAAGTCAGAGATAAAATTAAATAAGTGCATGTATGCAGCATCAGGGAGAGATCTTTGAGCTAAGAGATACTAAACATTGTGCAAATCACTTATCTTCTCTACCTCAGGCTTATAAATCTTAAGCTGGGAATGAAAACATTTTGTGAGTAATGCACACACATGCATAATGCATGTGAATGTGCTTTAAAAAGTTTGAAGTGCTATTTTAAAATACAAACACTAATATCATAGAATTCTCTAACATGAGTAATTCTATTCATCTAAAATGATCTACTTGCATACCTCTACTCACCTTCCATCCCTGAAGCTCTGGGACCCTGTCTCTCATTTTATTCTCTCTTTAGCAATTTCTTATTCTAATCACTTCTGCAAATAGTCAAGGGCCAAAAGTTGCAAAATGACAAATAAGTATCTGGCAGAAAAATTATTAACAAGATAGTGTTAATTACTGTTTCACTTCTACCTTTAGGAAATTTAAAGATTTTTCCCTGAAGAATATGGCTTGCTTCAATCACTGCATATAGCAGTGGCCTAATAGTTAAAATTAGCAAGAATTAGAACTTTCCAACACCACCAGTGTTCTTAACATATTCTAGATGGCCAGGTTTATAAATATAGTTATATTACACTTGCAATGGGGCTTATGGTTTTCCATACCTTTATGAAACGATCTACTTCTAAAGTGTTTTGCCAAAGTGACTCAGGTTTGTTGTATGCTCAGAGGATGTAGTGCTGGAGAATGACAATGCCAGGTCAATGCAGACTGACAATGGGGTTTTTTTTCCTCAACCCTTCCTATCGCTGATGCTTGATACGCCAACAATTCAAAATGGCACCAGGCGCTTTTCGTTCCCTTTATCACTCAATATACCACTCTTTCCATGATAAGTTAAATACTGTTACAGCCAACAAAATTATTTCCTAAGTATAAAAGAGCAGAAGCAGTCAGTCTTCTTGTGCTAAGATAATATAATGAGAAAACCAATGGAGAGCCAACAAAACCATTCAGAGTTTAGGTTCACAGTTTCACAGTGTAGTGAAAGTTATATTGTTTTAGTAGTAGAAGAGAATGTTCATGAAAACTAGACTTCTGAACAGATTTATGAATGATTTCTAGATGCATGTCAGACAAATGAGTAGCCCTTAAAATGCAATCATCCAGTTTGTAAACTTCTTTATCTTAGAAAGACAGTGGCCACTGAGGAGGAACATGTGTTTTGCAGCTGTTGGGGATACGAGACACTCTGGGAAACTGAGGAGGGTGTGTATGAGGGCTAAGGAGTAGAGACAGTGTGGGCTACATGTTCTATGAAGAAGTGTGGGTAACACGGACTTACCAGAAAAAATAGTGTACAAGGTACACATTTCTAAAAGTGAGGTTGTGTGAGGATTATTTATTTATTTGTTTATTTATTTATTTATTTTTGAGACAGAGTCTCACTCTGTTGCCCCAGGTAGAGTGCCGTGGTATCAGCCTAGCTCACAGCAACCTCGAACTCCTGGGCTCAAGCAATCCTCCTGCCTCAGCCTCCCAAGTAGCCAAAACATGCACCACCATGCCCGGCTAATTTTTTTTTTTATATATATATATGTATTTTCAGTTGTCCAGCTAATTTCTTTCTATTTTTTTTAGTAGAGACGGGGCCTAGCTCTTGCTCAGGCTGGTTTCAAACTCCTGACCTCGAGTGATCCTCCCGCCTCTGCTTCCCAGAGTGCTAGAATTACAGGCGTGAGCCACCGTGCCTGGCCTGATTATTTATTTAGAATGGAAACTTTTTGAATACATTTAGTGGCTGAGGGAAAAAGAATTAATTCATAGAATGTGATAAGTTGGAGACATGGGAGGTAGAAGGGGCAATTGGTGGAGTTCCAGAGGAGACAGAGATGGGACTAAAAGCAGGGCAGAGGAGCTGGTTTTGGGCATCTTTCATGTCCTTGGAGACTAGGGCAAAGGTGGCATGGATGCATCTGAGTGTGAGTTCCAGAATTAAGAGCAATGTTGCATGTATTTTCTGATCAGAAAAGACAGACTACCATCCTTCTAGACATAGATATCATGTTACTATTAATGCAGTCCAATATATACTTAGCTTTTTTAGGCAATAGATCACCTTTCCTTGGAAAAACAGTATAATATAGGGGTCAATAGCAAGGGTTTTGGCATTAGGTCCAAACTTTGGTCAAGTCACTTATAATTCTCAGTTTTCTCAAAAATAAAATGGGGCTAGTAATATAGCTACCTCAAAGAATTACCATGAGAATTAAATGAGATAACCAATAGTAAACATTTAAGAAATGCTAAACATTATTTTGATTGCTGACATTACTCTTATGGTAAATTAAAACGACTAAATATTTTTATAGAGTGCTGTTGAGCAAATTTACCCCATTCTGTCTGTGTACAGTTAATAATTTAGACTCAGAAGTAAGACTAACTGTATTGACTTCTGTGTGTTAGATTCACTTTATTTTTCCATTCTCCTGAGATTCTTTCGAGTTCTAATTCCATCATGAAATGTATTTATTATCCTCCCTAGCCTGTGTACTCTGTGACTCTCATAAGAATCCTGTGACAACCATTACTAATTTTATATTTGGTAACTATTTTCATCTTCTTCCTTACTGACACATCCTTAATTTGGTTCTATTGTAGCAGTGGAGCCAGTTAAGTTCCTCCATCTCTCAGCATCCCTTGCAGCTAGAAGTGGTCATGTGATACAGTGCTGGCCAATGAGGTAAAAGCAGAAGTCACTGTGTGGGTGTCTAGGCAAGCTTCTTAAAGAGGCCAGACGCAGGAGAATGAAAACCAGATTCTAAGAATGATGAAGAAGAAAGAAAAGTAGCCTGGGGCACGACGCCATGGCAGAGCTGTGGCCAGCCCTGTCCTGTGCACCTCCAGTCATATGACAAAAGCAACTTCTATTTAATGAAACCTTTGTCACAAGACTTCTGTTATATTTAGTAAATGCAATTGGTACTTGCTACAGATGCCATCTATATAATATTATCTAAATATTTGGAGGGAAAAAGGAAACTTGAACAGAACAGAGCTAAGGATAAAATACTATGGCATATCATTGCAAACCATCCTCCAGCTTGATTATTTTCGCACCAATATATCTTACTTTGTAAAAACTGTCATGTCAATAGGCAGTTGTTTTACCTGTGTTAATTTTGCCCACATCATTGGATCATATAGATTGTATCTTATTTCCTTTATAGTTGACACAGTGCCTACCCCTTTCCTGGGTGAGTGGTATGCATTCAATATAGATTTGTAAAACTAAAAGAGGTCTTGAGATGATCAACTTCTCATTGTACAGATAAGGAAACTGGGGTTCAGATGCCTTTTCCCAACTCAGGCATCCAGGAAACCCTAGAGCTGGGTCATAGTCTCACAACTGGTGTGTGTTGCACTACTCCACATAGTTTGAATAACTCATACAAACATTCCTTTTGTATTATATTTTCTTTCCAAGATCTTGTTTGACTTTACTCCAAATTATATTTTTAACCTGCTAAATACCCTTGGGCATTAATGAGGGAATTAAAGAAACTTTTTTGTTTTTCAGGTGAATACACTTTGGCTTTGAGTACCAAGTGTCCTGTTCACAATCAGAGAACCAGAGCAAGTAAGGAAAGTAGACTTTAAAAGCTTTTACAACTGTAGGGGCCACTGCACTATAAAGGAATCAGACTGATAAAGGTCCCAAATTTCCCTCTGGACCTGGGATGGGTCAATTGGCCCCTTACCCCATTGTTAGGATCTCAGTAAGAATGGCTTTTCCCTGTTGATGGTTGTCCTTCTCTTCAAGTAGAAACAATTTGTAAGGTTCTCTTAGTACCCTTCAGTAGGACAGTAACTAGCACAAACATTTCCTTGATATTTAATAACTCCCTAACTCCCTCCAACTGCTGCAGCTGCTACATGACAGGCAGAGGGAAAGATTAGATACGGCATTTGCACCTGGCCAGCCATAAACTGCTTCTTAGTTGTATGCGAAGGTTAACTGGCCCAATTCCCTCTTCTCCCTGGACCCAGAATACTGAAACATGAAAGAGAGCTGTAATTATTTATAAACAATAAAAACCTCTGTAGAGTATATAAAATGAATGGATTTATTTGCCTACTCAGAGTGGAAGGAGATATTTTCCTGGTTGTTGACAACTTTGGGGCTGTGATTAGAAATGCCATCTCTTCCCCTTGTTCTTTGTATTTGAATGTTAGACTATAGGTTTTGTTTCTACCAGAGTGACGAGGGTGGACTCTTAATGTCCACTGAGTGCTCTGTGTGCTAAGTTAGTCACCCAAATCTTTACAAATTAGGACCTTTTCTCTTTTCTCTAACTTTGCCTTGGTACCTTCTAGTGCAATCTGCCTTTAGCCGGCCTCTTCTGTCTCTGCTGTTTGGCTTTCCTGGCCCACAACGATCCTGAGGTCGGAGAAGCGCAGCTCAGCTTGGTGCATAGGGTGGAGCTGGGAGTCTTTCGTTGAGTTCTCTCCTTAATCACGATTCAGTAGATCCTGGCTGGCTCGAAGCAGGATTAAAATGCATTTATAGACCGCTACAGCCAGCTGTCATCTGCTTAGCTGCAATGTGGTAATTTGAGAGCATTAAAAAGAAAAAAAACCAAAACACTCAAAGAATCCATATTAGCAGACTATTTGAACGTGTTGCCTTTTTCCACAAACCCTAACGCTCTACATGCTTTTGTGACCAGTATGTAATATAAGCATGACTCACTCTTAGAATTGAATGACTCCGTTGACCATGTGGAGGTCAGAGGCACACAAGGAACTTTAGTTGAAATGAAAACTTGTCATATTGGTGACACCTTCTACTCCTAGTTTCTAGCAGTTTCCAAACTTTTCAAGTATGAGAGGCTATTTTTTTTAACCTAATAATAGCAGTTTTGTTTTAGTCTCTATTGATCGAGAATACCAAAAGGTACTATGAAAGCAGCATATTTTGTATTATTAATCATTACAATAGCTACTTACACATGAAAAATAGTAGTATATATATTGCAATACTTTATTTATTCTGTCCTTGGTAATATCTGGTATAAATATAGATTTCAGGACTCTTTCAAGTAACTCCAAGGCTTTCCAAGGGTTCAAGGTCCAAATTATAAATACAGCCACCCTTTGAAATAGGGAATGACTCTTGCAGAAGCATTTTAAAGAGAGGGCTGTTATTATAAAATCTTCTGGTGAAAACTTGCAAACTAAGATCCTTTTGGTACACCATATTCCACAGGACAAATGAAGAGAAAGGGAGATAGCTTTTAAATTTCCAGTAATAACATTGGCTGCTATGCTTCTGCTATTTAGCCAAATTATAGATACGATATTTTTTAATGGACCAATGTAATTAGATAAAATTCCTAATCGACTCAAAGCTTTTTATCTTCTTATAGTGCATAACCCTCAGCCAGTAAAATCACTGCATTAGCAATAGTGAACTACACTTGAAAATCTCTATTTAGTAAAACTACATTAAGTAGAATAAAAAGTATATGATGAGCAATCTAATTTAATTTTTATGCGAGATTCCTAACATATATTGAGCTGTCTATAATTTTAAAATCATGTTCTCTCTATTTAGACCTGTAAAATGATATGCATATAGGCCGGGCGCTGTGGCTCACGCCTGTAATCCTAGCTCTTGGGAGGCCGAGGCGGGCGGATTGCTCAAGGTCAGGAGTTCAAAACCAGCCTGAGCAAGAGTGAGACCCCGTCTCTACTATAAATACAAAGAAATTAATTGGCCAACTGATATATATATAAAAAAAAAAAAATTAGCCGGGCATGGTGGCGCATGCCTGTACTCCCAGCTACCCGGGAGGCTGAGGCAGAAGGATCACTCGAGCCCAGGAGTTTGAGGTTGCTGTGAGCTAGGCTGACGCCACGGCACTCACTCTAGCCTGGGCAACAAAGTGAGACTCTGTCTCAAAAAAAAAAAAAAAAAAAAATGATATGCATATAATTGGATATGTATGAAAAGTTATTTCTACCTTTATTTTCCCTTTTGCATTGGGGCAAGCAATAGTTCCTAAAACAGCCTCTCATTCACATCTTAAAACACATAGCATAATTCTACGGTAAATTATGTCATTTCTTGTCTAAAAAGTTTGGAGGAAAAACATGCTGTATATCATTTTCCAGTAATCCTCAACTGTTAATCCTTGATTGTTTGTGTTTTTTTTTTTTTTTTGAGTCTACTTTTCCTGATGGAATTATACTTGGTTTGTAATCTAAAGACCTGATGTTTTCACTGGGTGAGAAGAAATGAGAGGATGAGGCTTACACTAAGCCAAACTCCTCCCTAGCTAATCCTCCGCAGATAGCAAACACCAGAAAAGCAAAGATAAAGCTCACATAGGCAGCTCCGAGGCTCCACATCCCTAGGAAGGATACTTCAAGACTTCTGTGGGTGCCTAGTAACAAAAGAGATACAGTCCACAGGCAGAGAAGATACACATTCCCATGTAGAGTTCAAACAAGTTAAATAGTGACCCCACCAAGCAGGCAAGGGACCTGATAACCTCTCCAGGTCGGGCTGCCCAGAGAGATCTCTGAAAGCCAAAGGCCAGCCTTCTGACATAAGTTCCACTGCCTTGACAATGTGCAGCTGACCCGCCAACATTTAATGGCTATGCACCTATGAAGGCCTTCCAGGATGGCAAAAATCAGGGCTTTGTTCTCAGTCCTGTTCTGAGCACAGGGTTGCATTCTTGATATAGTATAACACTTCCTTTCTTAAAACTCAAAGACTCCAACTCCCTTTCTTTAGAATCCACCTCTGAGTCCACTTTTCCTGGATTTGCATCCAGGTGCAAATTCATATGTGTGATGGGAATCCTTCATCCAAATGCAAATCATTTTGCAAGGTCAAAATTCTTTTGTTATCGGACTGTGGGGGCCGGACTCTAGAAAAATTTGCATTTTGACTGGTTATGATAGGCACAGCTATGGGTTCTAGAAATGAAGGGCCAAAGAGGTCTTTACAAAAATCAAATGAACAAACAAATGAGATACAAATATACTCTATTAACTGTCTATATTTCTTTGAAACAGGAAGAGACTAGAATTTAGAATGCTGAAATGCATCCAACTGAAAAGGGACAAAAGAGAATTTTAATGAATTACAACACAAATGGAGATACAGACTGAATAATTAGAGTCTCCAGGACTGTAACTCAGGGGAAAACTGGCTTGATTTAGTCTCCTTCAGCTGATTTGTGAGGGAAAATGTGTGTCAAAGCAAGAGTTCCATATAGATTGTAGTTTAAGACAACTTAGTTATAAAGAATATTTGAGCTAGTATTAGAACATTTTTAAAACATTTCCAACCAAGTATTTTAAAATGACTTGCTATGTATATAACATAAGACAGTATTTTCTAAGTTATAAAAAATAAAACTGGAAATTTTTTCCCAAATTTAGTTCTAAATATTTTTCTCTAAAAGTTCTGTGTTACTTTATTTTGTATTTCTTTTCTTTTTTTATTTTAAGAGACAGGATCTCACTATGTTGCCCAGGCTAATCTCAAACTCCTGGGCTCAAGTGATCCTCCTGCCTCAGATTCCCAAGTAGCTAGCACTAGAGGTATGTGCCACTGCACTTGACTAACTTTGTTCTTTAAATCATCCTCCTTAATCCAAAGATATCAACACTGAGAAACCAAGATATCTAGAGCCAGTGATGTGGATAAGTGTGAGGGTAATAAAAAGACTGTCAGGGAAAGCATCCCTACTATTTATGAGATAGAGTTATAAGTACTTTGACTACTGAGGACACAAACTTGGACAATGACCAGTGTCACGTACCCTTGATCCCCAAATCCCCTCCAAACAGACATGTAGATTCATACCCTCAAGAGCATTAGGGTTACACATTGGCCCTGGGCAGACCTGGGCCACCTCTACACACAGAAGTGGTTCAAAGCTCACCTGGAGATGGATCTCCTGAATCAGGATTTACGGAACACAGTTAAGATTGGTATTAGAAACCATGGAGGACGAGTGACACCAAATGTGTTTTTCTTGTTCCTAGGCCTTCCTGAGTAGGACTAAAATTGCTCATGGAGACATTAGAATTGCTAATATAGATTTAGTCTGGTCTCCCCAAGTAGACTGGAAGTTTCTTAAGGTAAGACAAGTCTTCCTGCCAGGCTCCTCCCCCAACCAAGTGCCCGACATTTGACCTTTGAACTATTGGCCATGATAGTATCTAGCTCTAGGCTAGATAACCTGACAGACCCTGTTTGGAATCATTTAATGTGATTACTGGCACATGATAATCGCATATTGGTCTCTCTTCCTCTCTCTTTCCTACTTTCCCTTCCCACCTTTCTGAAAACAGAGCAGAAGTGTGTGTGTGTGCACACTTAAGTGAAGGTCTTGTGCACATCTAACTGTAATCTTAAAATTCTTTCTTATCACCAAAGACTTAAAAGGGTTATCTTTATGAAAAGAAAGAAAAAACTTACCCTACCCCTACTTTCTTAGCCCTTCTCCATCATAGCAGTAAAATTTCCATTGATTGATGTCCCAGGGAGCCGGTAGTTATGCTTTTACAAACCCTGGTTTCATAATGCCTGCCTTGAAGAACAGGACACTTTACATT